CTGAGCTTCTTTCCATCTCCATATACTATATGTGGCTCTTATTCCTCTTCCACATCATACTGTGCCATGCACTCCTCACCTTTGAGTAGGGAGATGGTCCATGGCAATGCTACAGATTGTCTATTTACCACTCGTGATAGGAGGGTTACAAATACAGTGGTACCTTGCAAGACAACGACCTCGCTAAATGGTGAATCTGTATAACGTTGACTTTTTGCGATCACTATAGCGATTCGCAAAACAGTCATTCCATGGGGGATTTTCGCTGGATGTCGATTAGGTCTGTGCTTCACAACCCGTTTGTTCGCAAGACGACGATTTTTTCCGCTGAACGTTGGCTTTGCAAAATGGCTGCCCTGTGTTTTCTGGACCCATGCTTCGCAGGGCAACCATTTTTACAGCTGATCGGCCCTCACAAAATGGCTTCCCTATGGATGATCCTTGCTGGACGACGAGGTATTTTCCCCATTGGAATGGATTAAACCGGGTTTCAATGCATTCCAGTGGGGAAAGGGTTTTTGCATGACGTCGATTTCGCTAAAGAGCGATTTCAATGGGATGGATTATTGTCGTCATGCGGGGCACCACTGTAGAAGCAATTCTTGTGGAGATTCCTGTAGAATTCTGTGACTAAGGTAGGGCAGATGCACAACAAAAACTCAACTAAAGGTTAACCATCTGGTTCCATTGGTGTTCACCATGCCCAGCAAATTGTGCTTTAATTTGAGCTTGTTGACATCCACAGCAGTTTTCCAGGTGGCCATTCATGGTGAGAGTAGTGGCTAAATGTGTCTGTGATGTGGGTTGACTGGTTGCTTACTGCCTCTTTTCTGGGGTTTCAGTGCAGAAAAGTCTTTCTGAGGGCCTGTCCAGATGAGTTTATAGATCTGTATCTGGATAGTTGTTGGTATGGTTTGGTTCAAATCAAATTGCATTGTCAGCCTGTGTTTCTACTTAGATTGACCCATCCTGTCCCTTTAAGAGCTCGCCTGCTCTTTTCGGGTATAGAGCTAGGGGCTTCTGTTTTTTGGTATAATATGGACACTTCTAATTATCCTCTTGTGTAGTCTGTGTGGATGGCTAGCTTGCACCCAAATGGAGCTGTGAATGGCATTATTAGAGGTGACAACCTTGTGACATAACAAGGTGGGTTGTAACAATAAAAGGGAGGATGAAGAAATCCCCTCCTCTATTTTCTTCTTCTTTTCTTATCTATTTCTCTAAATGATACAGCACAATTCCGATACCATGCGAGGTGGAAGAAATCAAATGCTGTAGACTATGTAACTGGAAGCAGGATGTGGAGAAGCTGTATTGTCTCTGTTAAAACAAGACCAGGAGTAGATTGTGGTACTGACCTATGATCTGTTAATATAAAAAAAAGCTGAAAAAGAATGCTAAAAGAATCACAGTCCAAAAATATATTTTAAACAACATTCCTGATGAATATAAAAGTGGAAGAAGTTTACTGAAGACCCATGCAGAAGAGAGAAAAGAATGATAGACTCATTTGAAGAGGTATCCTGTGATAGCTGCCTAGAGTGGTCCTGAGTTGGCTAAATAGGCGGGATATTAAATCCCTTAAGGTCCAAATCCAAAACAAAACACATTGTTTCCTTTGAAAGGTTTAGTGTACAGTCATGTTTAAACTCCTGTGAAGAGGAATCCTATGACAAAGAACCTGCAGTTATAGAAAGTGAAGAGAAAGCTGCTCTGAAAGCACTAGGAAAAAAAGAAGTCATTGGGGTAGATGGAATTCCAGTAGAACTATTTCAGGCCACAGAGATTGAATCTGTCAAAATCCTAACAAGAATATGCCAACTAATATGGAAAACAAAACAATGGTCTACAGACTGGCCAAGTTCAATAGATTTTCAAGTCCCCAGGAAAGGGAGTGTCAAGGTATACAGTAATTATAGGACCATGGCTTTAATTTCCCATAGAAGCAAAGTGATGCTGAAGGTGTTGCAACCTTATGTGAGTAAAACATGTCTGATGTTCAAGCTGGATTCTGAAAAGGAACAGTCAGTTGCAGTCATATTGCAAATATTTGCTGGTTACTAAAGTGCACCAAAGGTCTGCATAGTCAAAGCTATGGTTTTTCCAGTAGTGATGTACGGAAGTGAGAGCTGGACCATAAAGAAGGCTGACCGTCGAAGAACTGATGCTTTTGAATTGTGGTGCTGGAGGAGACTCTTGGGAGTCCCCTGGACTGCAAAGAGAACAAACCTATCCATTTTGAAGGAAATCAAACCTGAGACAGATCCTGAAGCTGAGGCTCCAATACTTTGGCCATCTCATGAGAAGAGAAGACCCTGGAAAAGACCCTGGTGTTGGGAAACTGTGAGGGCAAGAGGAGAAGGGGAGGAAAGAGGATATGGTGGGACAGTGTCATCGAAGCGACCAACATGAATTTGACCCAACTCTGGGAGGCAGTGGAAGACAGGAGGGCCTGGCATGCTCTGGTCCATGGGGTCACAAAGAGTCGGACACGACTAAACAGCAACAACATTATGATCAAGTTTTAACCAAAAACCTAAGTATCTGTTAAATATCAGCATGGCATGTATGCTGTTCCTAATATTGCATCATCATAATCAATCATCCTCATCCTCATCATCCTCAATCCTAGAATTGCAAAGCTGGGAAGGGACCCTATGGTTCATCAAGTCCAGCCCCTGTCAAGGAAGCACAGTGGGAAACCAGACTCCCAGCCATTGGCTCCATAGCCAGATGCCTAAGCCACTAAGCTATCCAGCTGTTCTTTCTTTCTTTAAAATATTTTACTCCAGCTTTCTCCTTAAAAGGACCCAAGCTTACATCATTAAAAAGACAGTATTTAAAAGCCAAAAATAGTAAGTGTACAAATATTTAAAAAGAATTAAACAAGTATTATATGAAAATGGTAAATAAAATCAGTACTAAATGCATTTAAAAGCAACAGAGCACAACAGTCCATTTAAAAACAGGTGCCATAGGGCCTAAGGTGGCACGCTGGGAGGAGTTCAACAGAATTTTCCGTCTGCTGCTTCACATGTATCTTGCGCATCTGTTCTTCCTTCTTTTCTGTCACAGGGCTTTGCATTTTATACAAATGGCTTAATATGAAAGAGATGTGATGACAAAGGAAAAAGGGGAGATGGGAAAGCAAATTTAAACACTGGTCATTTCATTCATAATGAGCAGGTTGAGATTTTGGTTGTAGGAGGCCCTTGGGAGACCTTTGCTCAAGATGTTTGATCCCTGCTGAGCCGGCAGTGATGGGGCCTCGTTGTCTCCCCTCTTCTTGGACTGCAGTTGAGTGGAAAGAACAGAATAATATCGCAGATACAGTACTTGTGTTTCTGTGCCAGTGGAAGTCTTGGCTCTCCAAAGCTTCTTTTACAAAAAGAAAGAGAGATGAAAATGGCAGCTGAAATTATTCTGCAGCACGGATTAAAATCGGAGACAGCAGAGAGCCCCCGCTCCCTTTGTCCCCAAAGCAAATTCCACTTCTCTCCACGCTCCTGTTCTGCTGATGGTGTGATGCAGGTAAATAAAATCAGTACTGACCTCATAATGAGCCTGAGGTCTCCCAGGCTTTTTTTTCTCTGATGCCTGCTGTGTCATAGCTGCTGAAAGTTCTCCTGCAAGCACCTGCCAGGGCCACATTCTTCCTTAATCGGTTCTGCATTTGGTCCTGGGACTTAACTGGAGACAATGAGCTTGAAACAGAGCCAGAGCATCCTCATGAGATAATTGGCAGGGCTGGTGGAACTTCTCAGTGCTTGAACAAAATCTGTTGTGTACGTGCCTTGATCCTTTTGTTTGTTCATTATATTAATGCTTTCATGTGGCTCTTGTTTTATTCATGTAGGTGAGGTAGATCTGCGAAGAGGCCAAGATGGACCTGGATGTATTAAACATGTTTGTAATAGCAGGAGGCACGCTGGCTATCCCCATCCTGGCGTTTGTTGCATCCTTCCTTCTGTGGCCTTCAGCACTGATCAAAATATACTACTGGTAAGGCTTGGTTCCATTCTATATAAAAATCTCAGTTCCTATTTTATGTTGCCTTTGCAGAGGGCAGAGTCACTTTACATTTGCCTTAGAGTGAATGGTCAGCTTTTCTGTTGGTTTCAAAGGGTACCCTTGCTTTAATCCTATTACATCCCTCATATCATAGCTCCCTGGAAATAATAGGACCCATTTGGAGTGGTGTCCAGGACTGCATGATTAGCTCACAGTTGGTATGTATGTGTTTGGAAGGACCCTGATGTGCACACCGATGCTATTTGGGAGGGCTAGGGGTGGTTCGGGTTCCCACCTGTTCACTTAGCTTAGAATGTTTTAAAGGGCTAACTCAGAGTTTGGCTGAAAAAATTCCCATAAGCTGGTGTTCCTTCTGAAGTCTGGTTCATTTACTGATGTCAAGCAGTGATGTGGAACTTGGCCCTTCAGATATTATGGACTGCAACTCCCACAATCTCTTATCAATAGTCATGCTGGGTGGGGTTTCTGGGAACTGTAGGCCAAAGCATCATTCGGGAGGGTCCAAAGTGCAACATCTCCCACCTTGAAGGACGTCCTCTCTAGCCGTGGCAGGTAACTAGAAATGCAGTCTTAAGCTGCCTGCAACTTGACATGATTGGGCAGATGTGCCCATGTTTCTTTTGCTCCCGGCTGCCTTGTAGACCTTTGAACAGGAGGCATCAGGGATTGTTTTAGGGGAGTCTAGCAGCCCAGGAATTACTGTGATTAAGGTATATCAGTGGCTACTAGAACAAGAGCGTGATGTTTAATTAAACGATGGGTCTCTTCCGTAAAATGTAAAATAGTAATTGCCGATCATGTTTCATTAATATAAATGCTTCTGAGGGAATTCAGAATTATCATGTTACCAAGCCTTTGTTCGCGGTTGCTAGGCAGTGCTTTATTACCTTGGTTACTTTGCCTGACTAGGGAGATTAGCTGCCCAGGAGTATAGATGCCATTGACTCGTGGGGGGGGGGGAAGGGGAGGACAAATTGCTTGAGGGGCAGCTTCATCAGTCAGAAAAGCGACCCTGAATGGCCAAGCAGGCGTAATGTTTCTGGCGGGACTGAGATTCGGCCCTTGTGGTTTTAGAAAGAGAAGGAAGAGACTGGTGTACGGAAGGAGGAAGAGCAAGCGGGGGAGTGAAGGAGTGAGAAAAAGATGAAGACATTGTGATTGTGCTCTGAGCCAGGGAAGAACAACCTCGGGGGTAGGAAGTGGGGAAGCAGGGAGTTTGCCACTGGGAATTGGTTCTTTTTCTCCAACCGTGAATTACTGTCCTGATGGCGATGAGAACATCTGCTATGCCTTTGTCAGGTAGTCTTGCTTTCATCGAGCTGAGTAAATCTTGGTCATTTTGCGCAACTAGCTCTACATTTAAGCTTTTTACACAATGGAGAATTTTTATGAAGAGTAACAACAAGTAGAACAATTTTCGAAGGATGTATATCTTGCTCTTCATCTGGAAGGGCTCGCAGACTAGCTTACATGCCGGGGGGGGGGGTAGGTTCAGAAGGCCCTTGCATATCAGTAAAAGCATGAGGCAGAGTTTCAGTGACAGATGCTTTTCTGCTCCCATTTCTGCTGTTAATGCTCCCAGAAGCTCCGTCAGCCTTTCTTCTGAATGGGCGACCTGAATTAGACTTGTACTGTCAAATGGTAATCTGCAAATTGAGGCCAGATGCTCTAGTGTTGTGTGTCCTTTTGATTTTAGCATCATTCGCTGGAAGCTCAGTTGGATACACCCATAACAACATCTGGTGTCACCAGAAATGGTGAATTCTAGTAGGCAATGCTTGATTACTGGAAACCGGAATAGCAACCGATCTAACAGGGTCCTGGAAACATGATTGGCATAAGGATAGTATACCCCTTACAGTGGTGCCTCGCATTACCACTCCTTAATTCATTCCAGCAAAATTGCTGTAGAACAAAAAGTCGTAATGCGAAAAGAAAAAACCCATTGAAACGCATTAAAACCCGTTTAATGCGTTCCAAAGGGCTGTAAACTCACCGTCCAGCAAAGATCCTCCATAGGGCGGCCATTTTCGCTGCCTGTGCAGAGAGGAATCCATCCCAGAAAACAGCGGGGGGCCATTTTGTTTACCCGGCGGCCATTTTTAAAAGGCCAATCAGCTGTTGGAAAATCGTCGTTTTGCGAAGAATAGGTTCCTGAAGCAGGGAACCAATCATCGCAAAGCAAAATTCCCCCTTAGGAAACATCGTTTTGCGATCGCAAAAGTGATTGCAAAAAGTTCATCATAATGCGGTTTCGTCGTTAAACGGGGCAATTGTAAAGCGAGGCACCACTGTATATGAAATGCGATGTTATATAAAAATGGCAACAGCAATTAACACCAGACTTCTATATGCTAATATTTGTCATGTGTGTATCATGTGGTGCTGAGTCAAAACTGATTTATACCAAACCTATCAGGTTTGAATTGTGGTGCTGGAGGAGGATTTTGAGAGTCCCCTGGACTGCAAGGAGAACAAACCTATCAATTCTAAAGGAAATCAACCCTGAGTGCTCACTGGAAGGACAGATCCTGAAGCTGAGGCTCCAATACTTTGACCATCTCATGAGAAGAGAAGACTCCTTGGAAAAGACCTTGATGTTAGGAAAGTGTGAGGGCAAGAGGAGAAGGGGACGATAGAGGATGAGATGGTTGGACAGGGTCATCGAAGCGACTAACATGAATTTGACACAACTCTGGGACACAGTGGAAGATAGCAGGTCCTGGCGTGCTCTGGTCCATTGGGTTACGAAGAGTTGGACACTACTAAATGACTAAACTAAACTAAACTATCAGGGTTTTCAAGATAAATGAGATATTCAAGGAGTGGTTTTATAAGTTTCACCATCTCTAAGTGAATTTACATGGCTGAGAGTGGATTCAAACCCAGGTGTCCTGAACCCTAATCTTTCATTCTATCCACTATGCCACACTGGGTATTCCCTAATATTTTGTTGGTGGTATAATAAATACAGTTGGGAAGCAGACATTGAATTCATTTTCTACAATATAAATCAAGAGTGTGTGTTCTGTGCCTTAAAGTTGGAACCAACTTATAGCGATCTTAATAGGACTTTCAATGTAAGTGAGATACTTCATGTGTGGATTTACCAGTTCCATTCCCCCAGTCAATTTCCACAGCTAAGTGGGGATTAAAACCCTGTTCTCCAGAGTCCTAGTCCTTCATTCTACTCACTATAACACAATGAAAATCCCCAAAAGGAACCAACCTTATTTCAATGAGTTTGAGTCCTTTAAATTATTAGTTTAGCTATAAATGATTGCGACCATATATCCTTGGTTCTAAACATAACAAAAGTTAATACATGTGTACCAAACATAGACATGAATATTTTGCCCAACTATCACACTTAACTTTATAGAATATCTCCAAAAGACATTTAAAAAGCTACAAGGCAACATTGAGAATGAGCCAGATGTTGGGAATTACACGAGGAGATGAGATTCAAGTGATGAAACCAAAAGTCAGGGTTGAAAGCGAGAAGGGAACTGAAGGAAGAAACCAAGAGTCAGGACTGAACAACAATCCAGAAATGCAAGATAAAGTGATTCCACTGAAACTGGAATTCTTTGCCTCAACAAGTTAGGTCGTTAAGCTCTTTGTTAGCATCTCATCACAGAGTGGGGAGTTCCAGCATGACCAAAGGAGGCAACAGTGAGACTGCTGTCGAAAAAGCCCTCTTTGAGTCAAACTATGTATAGGTGATAGTTATCATCACCCAGTCTCCAATACTCCATTTTTGGGCAAGATAGTGGAGCATGTGGTGACTTCTCAGGTCTAGCGGTACCTGGATGGAATGCCTGGATCAGTTTCAGTTCAACTTTAGGCCTGTTCATGGAATGGAGACAACTTTGGTCACCTTGGTGGATGGCCTACACTGGGAACTGGACAAGGGGTAATGGGTCTGCGTTTGTTCTGCTGGATGTTTCTGCAGCTTTCAATATCATCCACTATAGTATCCTTCTGGGCTGTCTCTCCTAATGGAACTTGGATGCACTGTTTGTGGCTCTGGTCCTTCTTTAAGGGGTGACCTTAGAAGGTGGTACTTAAGGACTCCTACATCTTGGCTCTTAGCCAAATCCCTTAGGGTTCCCCATGCTATTTAACATTTACATGAAATTCCTGGGAGAAGTTGGGAGTGTCTGGAGTTCTATGTCACCAGTCAGCAAATGACACCAACTCTTATTTTTCTGCTCTGCCTAACTCCAAGGAAGCTGTTCCTGTTGTAAACCAGTGTCTTTTGTTAGTAATGGACTGGATGAGGGTTAACAGAAAAAATCTAACCAAGGCAAGACAGAGGTGCTCCTAGTCAATCGAAAGGCAGATCAAAAAATAGGGATTCAAACTGTGTTGGATGGGGTTACACTCCCCCTGACAGCTTGAGCTCACAGCTTCAGTGGTGTAGTTATGAATTCACCCCTGAGCCTGGATGCTCAGGCCTTGGCAGTGGCCAGGAGTACATTAGAGCAGTTAAATCTGGTGTGCTGTTTCTGGAGATGTCTGGTTCGGCTACAGTCATGTATGGCTTACTTTCATCCCACTTGGATTACTGCTCTAGCTGCATCAAAATGCTGCCACCAGGTTGCTGACTGGGTTTAGTTTTGTTGTTGCCTCCCAGAGTTTGGTCAAATTCATGTTGGTAGCTTCGATGACACTGTCCAACCATCTTGTCCTCTGTCGTCCCCTTCTCCTCTTGCCTTCATACTTTCCGAACATCAGGGTCTTTTCCAGGAAGTCTTCTCTTCTCATGAAATGGCCAAAGTATTGGAGCCTCAGTTTCAGGATCTGTCCGTCCCGTGAGCACTCAGGGTTGATTTCCTTTAGAATTGATAGGTTTGTTCTCCTTGCAGTCCAGGGGACTCTCAAGAGTCTCCTCCAGCACCACAATTCAAAAGCATCAATTCTTCAGCGGTCAGCTTTCTTTATGGTCCAGCTCTCACTTCCATACATCACTACTGGAAAAGCCATAGCTTTGACTATGCGGACCTTTGTTTGCAAGGTGATGTCTCTGCTTTTTAATATGCTGTCTAGGTTTGTCATCGCTTATTCCCAAGAAGCAGGCGTCTTTTAATTTCGTGGCTGCTGTCGCCATCTGCAGTGATCAAAGAGACGAAGAAAGTAAAATCTGTCACTGCCTCCATATCCTCCCCTTCTATTTGCCAGGAGGTGATGGGACCAGTGGCCTTGTGCTTAGTGTTTTTT